AATCGGATATTTGAAGGAAGTAAATTGAGTGTTGTGGGAGATTTTAGAAAAACAAAAAAAAATAAAGAGAAAATGCATGGAGAACAAAGAAAAAAACAAAGAAAAGTCAATAGCATAAGTAACATACATGTACACACACACACACATATATATATATATATATATATATATATATATATATATATATGTGTGTGTGTGTTTGTGTGTGTGTGTGTGTGTGTGTGGTACTTATTGGAGAGAGATCAATATTAGTGATAGAGCTAACATATTTAGTTGTGTTGATGTGGATTTAGACCCTTTTTACGCCCTTTGGGATAGTCAGAGAATTGTCTGACGATAGCAAACGGCGTGAAACCCAAGGTCACAGACTCACATCAACGCAACTATACATATATATATATATATATATATATATATATATATGCTTTTGAATTTGTAGGTCCGATGAATTGGATCGTGGTTACGATTGCAATGTAATAAATTATAACCATGGAATACTAATGTTTGAGCCTTTATATTATATTCTTACTTGGACTGGACATTGAGTTCTATTCTATCCTCTTGGGGATATATATATATATATATATATATATATATATATATATATATATATATATATATAGGGGTTTGGGGTTCTGAAAAAATGTTAAGGAAAAGAAGAAATAAAGAGTGAAGGAAGTAACTGTGAATGAAAATGTAAAAGAAAATGTGAATGAAAATCATACTATGAAACAATGAAGGAAAAAAAAACACGAAAGAACCAAGGAATGAAAGAATGAACGGAAGAATAAGAAATACAATATTATAAGAAAGAAAGAAAGAAAGAAAGAAAGAAAGAAAGATTGAAAGAAAGAAAGAAAGAAAAAGGAAAAAAGAAAGACTGAAAGAAACAAAGAAAAACGAACCAAAAAAAAAAGAAAAAGAGAAATGATTCAAACAAAGAAATAATGATTTCGAAAAAATAAAAATAGAAAAAGGAAAGAATTAAAGAAAGAAAAAGAAAAAAAGAAGGAAACACGCAAGCTATCTAACAAAAAAGAGAATCAAAGGAAAAGGATAAAGAAAAAGAATTCAAAGAAAGAAAGAAAGAAACAAATAAACAAAGAAGAAAGAAATAAAAGAAAATTTTGAATAAAAATAATTGCAATAAAAACTGAACATAGAGTAAATGATAGATTGAAAAATGAATGAAAAAAAAGGAGTGAATGAAAAAATTGAGTGAAAAACGGAATGAATAATGGAAATAAGGTAAATAAAGATAAATGTGAATGAAAAAAGAATGAAATATTAAGAGAAAGATTTCAAAATGCATAAAGGAAAGTTAAGTTAAAGGAAAGAATGAATAAAAGCGAATGTGAATGAATGTCTAAATGAAGAATAAAAGAAACACTGGAGTAAAATAAAGAATGAAAACCGTGAAAACTCAGAATTGGTATTGAATGTTATTAGAAGGAATTAGAGAAAGAGAGAGAGAGAGAGAGAGACTAACATGGAATTAGGAATTGATACATGATGAAAAAAATAGGTGAAGGATTCAAAGAAGGGGGGGAATAAAGAAAACAAATAAACAAAAAAACGAGCAGAAGGGAAGCAAAGAAAAAGACATGTTAAAGGAATCAAAAAGAAAGAAAACAAAACAGGAAAATAGAAAGAAAGAATTAACGAAACAAAGAAAAACGAACCAATGAAAGAAAAGAAAAGGACAAAGGATACAAAGAAACAAAAAAGAAGACAGAGAGAAACAAAAGAGGAAAAGAGAAAGAAAGAACAAATATAGAGTATACAGTGAAAGAAAGAAAGCATTGAAGAAAAAAAGATTCAAAGAAAGAAAGAAAGAGTGAGAGAAAGAAAGAAAGAAAAAGAAAGAAAGAATGAAAGAAAGAGGCAAAGAAAAACAAACGAAAAAGACAAAGGATTCAAAGGAAGAAAGAAAGAAAGAAAGAAAGAAAGAGAGAAAAAACAAACGATAAACGAACCAAAGAAAGAAAGAAAAAGATAAATGGTTAAAAACAAAAAGAAAAGAAAGACAAAGACAAAATACGAAAAAAGAAAGAAAGCCACTTAAAACAAGAAACAAAAGAGAACGAAAGAAAGACAGAAAAAGATAAAGAATACAAAGAAAAAAGAAAGAAAGAAAGAAAGAAAGAAAGAAAGCACTGAAGAAAGAAAAGTAATTAAAAGAACGAAAAAAAGAAATTGAATCATTAAAGCTTTCAAAGGAAGAAACAAAAAAGAAAGAAAGAAAACAAAAGAAAGAAAAAGGGGATTCAAAAATGAAAGAAAGAAAAAAAGGGACAAAAAGATAAAATATTCAAAGAAAAAAATAAAGAAACAAGCGAAGAGGAACTGAAGAAAAAAGATTCAAAAGAAAGAAGGTAAGAAAGAAAACTAAACCAAAGAATGAAGTACAACAGAAATGATTCAAAAACAAAAACATGCAAAGAAACAAGGGAAAAAATTAAAGGATTCGAAAGAAAGAAATAAAGGAAGAAGGAAAAGAAAACAAAAGAAAGTAAAATGGATACAAAGGAATTCAAAGAAATAAAAAAAGAGAGACAAAAAGATAATGGATTGAAAGAAAGATGAAAGAAAAAAAGAAAGAGAAAAAAGAGATAAAGGTTTCAAAGAAAGAAAAAAGTCAAAGAAAAAATTTTATAGAAAGAAAAAAAAAGAAAGACAGCGGATACAATAATGAAAGAAAGAAACAAGAATAGAGGACAAATGAAAGAAAAAGGGATTGAAGGAAGAAAGAAAGAAAGAAAGAAGGAAGGAATTAAGGAAGGAAAGAAAGAAAGAAAGAGACACAGAAAGAGAAAGGGTAAAACAAAAGAAAAAGTGAACAAAAGAGATAAAGAAAAAAGGGATTCATAAAAAGAAAAATGAATCAAACAACGAAAGATAAGGGAGTCAAAGAAAGAATGAAAGAAAGAAAAAGAATAAACAACGAAGTGGTTAAAGAAAGAAAGAAAGAAAGAAAGAAAGAAAGAAAAGAAAGAAAGAAAGAAAGAAAGAAAAACAACGAAGGGTTAAAGAAAGAAAGAAAGAAAGAAAGAAAGAAAGAAAAGAAAGAAAGAAAGAAAGAAAGAAAGAAAGAAAAAGAATAAAACAACGAAAAGTCAAAGAAAGAAAGAAAGAAAAAGAATAAACAACGAAGTGATTAAAGAAAAAAAGAAAGAAAGAAAGAAAGAAAGAAAGAAAGAAAGAAAGAAAGAAAGAAAAGAATAAAGAAAGAAAAGAATAAACAAAGAGGGTTAAAGAAAGAAAGAAAGAAAGAAAAGAAAGAAAGAAAGAAAGAAAGAAAGAAAGAAAGAATAAACAACGAAGCGGTTAAAGAAAGAAAGAAAGAAAGAAAGAAAGAAAGAAAGAAAGAAAGAAAGAAAGAAAGAAAGAAAGAAAAAGAATAAACAACGAAAGTCAAAGAAAGAAAGAAAGAAAAAGAATAAACAACGAAGTGATTAAAGAAAGAAAGAAAGAAAGAAAGAAAGAAAGAAAGAAAGAAAGTAAGTAAGAAAGAAAGAAAAAGAATAAACAACGAAGCGGTTAAAGAAAGAAAGAAAGAAAGAAAGAAAGAAAGAAAGAAAGAAAAAGAATAAATAACGAAGCGGTTAAATAAATAAATAAAGAAAGAAAGAAAGAAAGAAAGAAAAAGAAAGAAAGAAAAAAATAAACAACGAAGCAAAGAAAGAAAGAAAGAAAGAAAGAAAGAAAGAAAGCATAAACAATGATATGGTTAACGAAAGAAAGAAAGAAAGAAAGAAAGAAAGAAAGAAAGAAAGAAAGAAAGAAAATTAAAGGTTGAAAAGAAGAACAAAGTATGGAGGACAAAATGAAGAAAGAAAAAGGTATTCAGAGAAAGAAGAGGGAAATAAAGAGACAAAGAAAGATTAAAATTAGAAAGAAAGAAAGAAAAAAAGAAAGAAAGACAGAAAAATTGAGAAAAAAAGAAAGAAAATTGTATTCAGAGAAAAAAGAAAGAATGTAACAAAGTTAAAGGATTGAAAGAAAAAAAAAACAACGTAAAAAGTAAAGAGAACAAAAGAAAAAGAGAAAAAAGTCATTCAAAGAAAGAAACAAACAAAGAAAGAAAGATAAAAGATTCAATAAAAAAAAACAAAGAAAAAAGAAAGAAAGCGACAAAGAAAGATAAAGGATTCAAAAGAATCAAAGAAAAAAGAGAACAAAAGAAAGAAAGAAAAAATGTATTCCAAAAAGAAGAAAGAAAGCGACAAAGAAAGATAAAGGATTCAAAGAAAGAAAGAAATAAGAAAGAGAACAAAAGAAACAAAGCAAAAAGGTATTCAAAGAAAGAAGAAAGAAAGAGACATTCAAAGAAAGAAACAAAGAAAAAGAGAACAAAATAAAGAAACATTGATTCAAAGAAAGAAAGGGACAAAGAAAGTTAAAGGAGTCAAAGAAAAAAGAGAAGAAAAAAGAGAAGAAAAGGAACATAAAAAGTGTTTCAAAGATCGAAGAAAGAAAAAGACAGAGAGATATAATATATTCAAATAAAAATAAAAATAATAAAAGAGAAAATAAATTCGAGAGAAAAAAGGGAATCAGAGAAAGAAAGATATAAAGAAACATAAAGTATTCAAAGAAAGAAAACAAAGAAAAAAGAAAGGAAGAAAATGGGATTCAAAGAAAGACGAAAGAAATAAAGAGATAAAGAAAGATAATGGATTCAATGAAAGAAAAAGTCAAATAAATATGAAGGGTTCAAAGAAAGAAAGAATGAAAAGCAAACAAAAGGAAGAAAGAAAAAAAGGGACACAAAGAAAGGAGAAAAAAAGAAAGATATAAAGAAATATAAAGGATTCAAAGAAAGAAAGAGTCAAACAACGATAAAGGATTCGGAGAAAGAAAGTAAAAACAAAAGAAAAGAGATTAAAACAAAGAAAAAGATGATAAAGGATTCAAAGAAAGAAAGTGACAAAGTAATATAAAAGATACGAACATACGAAAAAAAGAAAGAAAGAATGAAAGAAAGAAAGAAAAACGAATCAAAGAAAGAAAGAAAAAAAGAAAGAAAGAAAGTCACAAAAAACATAAAGAGAAGAGAACGAAAGAAAGAAAAAGATAAATGATTCAAAGAAAGAAAGAAAGAAAGAAAAAGAGAAAGAAAGAAATAAAAACGAACCAAAAATAAAAACGAACCAAAGAAAGAAAGAAAGAAAAAGAAAGAAAGAAAGAAAGTGGAACTGAAGAAAAAAAGATAAAGAAAGAAAGAAAGAAACCCACAAAAAACAAGAAACAAAAAGAGAACGAAAGAAAGAAAAAGAGAATGAAAGAAAGAAAGAAAGAAAGAAAGTGGAACTGAAGAAAAAAGATAAAGAAAGAAAGAAAGAAACCCACAAAAACAAGAAACAAAAGAGAACGAAAGAAAGAAAAAGAGAATGAAAGAAAGAAAGAAAGAAAGAAAGTGGAACTGAAGAAAAAAGATAAAGAAAGAAAGAAAGAAACCCACAAAAACAAGAAACAAAAGAGAACGAAAGAAAGAAAAAGAGAAAGAAAGAAAGAAAGAAAGTGGAACTGAAGAAAAAAGATAAAGAAAGAAAGAAAGAAACCCACAAAAACAAGAAACAAAAGAGAACGAAAGAAAGAAAAAGAGAATGAAAGAAAGAAAGAAAGTGGAACTGAAGAAAAAAGAAAGAAAGAAAGAAAGAAAGAAAGAAAGAAAGAAAGAAAGAAAGAAAGAAAGAATGTGACAATGAAATAAAGAAAGAAAGTAACAGAATTGCAAATAAGCAGGGTGAAGCCGAAAAGGGTTCAAAGAAAGAAACGAAGAAAAGAGAACAAAAAGAAGAAAAGAAAAAGCGGACTCAAAGGAAGAAAGAAAGAAAGATACAAAGAAATATACAGGATTCGAAGAAAGAAAGAGTCAAATAAAACTAAAGGGTTCGAAGAAAGAAAGAAAGAAAGAAAGAAAGAACAAAAGAAAAGAGATTAAAACAAAAAAAGAGGATAAAGTTTTCAAAGAAAGAAAATAATAAAGAAAGAAAGAACAGGTTTGATAAAGTGTAACGAATGAAGAAACAGAATTTTAAATAAACAGGGTCAAGACGAAAAGAACATGAAAAGGAAAAACATCTCTCCAAACTTCAAGATCAAAGCGAAAAAGACAATGAATTCCCTTGCAAATAACCCTTTTTTTCTCGATCAATGTTCAGAAAGACGTTTCTTACATGAGGACATTCATTGATATCATGAAGGACGAATTGGTTTCTTCAAATCCACTTAAAATACATTTTTTTTAAAATATGGCGGAAAACATCTCATGAGCGAAAATCACTTAAAACGTCACATTTAAAAAAATGAAAGGCTGAAGTTAAAAAGAAAAAAAAGAAGTTAACTTTTAAAATTAATTTTTTCTTTTTGAATAAAATCACAAGGACTCTTATTCCGTTTCAGGACGAAATTCAAATCACAAAGAACTGCCGAAAAACCCTTGTCAAAAAGAAAATCAAGCGACAAAAATGCGTAGAATTCTCAGAAAATTTAGAAATATCAAAAGTCTTGAGAATTATACCAGCCGAAAGTCTAGAAATTAAAAAAAAAAAATGCATTAAGAGTTCGAATACATTTTATGGAACGATCGCTATTGCCACTTTGAAGGCTGTAAAAGTTTTTTCACGTTTTTCTTTGTATCATGAAGAACATCGCAAAATCCTTTGTGTTTTTTGACTTTCCTGTACTGTTTAATATCTATGGAGCTTCCTACCTTTTCAAAATGGTTTCAAATACGGGTCGTCAGGTTCACCTAGGACCTTGACAATCGTACGCGCTAACTAATTCTTAAAACAGTATTTTCATTAATCGGACTATTGTCCTCATCTTTGTCGCCATATTTGTCACAACGTTTCGGCCGTTGTACGCTCCGTCCTTCTTCGGCGACTAAGATGAGGACAATAGTCCGACTAATGTAAATACATGGTTCTTGAAAATGACTGAGGCGGTCGAATATACTTGGACAAAACAACAACACAACTTGAACTTCGGACAGTTGATCCCTAATTTTGATCACAATACACAACAGCTTATTCGAATATTGGAAAAATACAATAAATATTTAAACAGGTTCTTTTTATATATATATATATATATATATATATATATATATATATATATATATATATATGTGTGTGTTTGTGTGTGTGTGTGTGTGTGTGTGTGATAGGAAATGTTTATAAATTAACATGTTTCGCATTTATTTAACTTTCATCAGAATGTTTCCTCCCAAAATTTCTCATGAAGCTTAAATAAAAGCGAAACATGTCCTATGTATTCCTTTTCCTGTAATTCTATTGAATTCTAATCCACATTTGATCTGCATTCATTATATAAAGCAAATACAAAAATTATTTTAAATCAAACGTGTATATATATATATATATATATATATCTATATATATATATATATATATATATATATATATATATATATATATATATATACATTGCAGTAAAAACCACAGATTGACTCTGTAGGTGTTGGAAAAACACAAATGTGCCTGAGCAAGAGTCTGCAATACGGATTGGCTAGCCGCTCTAGTAGGCGAGTATCTTCGAATACGAGTGGCCATCTATTATTTAGCTATATATATATATAAAAGAAATATAGACAGACTAATCCTTAAAAGTCAGTCATTTATGTGCCAAACATGATAAAAGAGATTTTCTTTCCCGCAGTGGGTTGCCATTTCTTTCTTCTGTAGACCAGTTGCCATCCAAGGCTATAGAACTCGGTCTGTCCGACTATTTAAAAAAATTTCCTATAGCTGGCGGGAGAAGAAGAGGATTCATACCTTTCCCAAGGGTATTAGTGTAAGTGAAAATGTAGTGGATTTGACTGGAATTTGAACTCGGCTCTCTGATTCCTCAATCCGAGCCACTATCCATTACTCTACCGTGCCTCCTCATACGAGTTTAGTGACCCCCACCACCAAAAAGAAAGAATTATAGAACATCTAAGATAAAACATGCAGCTGATATGGAATCTGTGCTATGGCCTTTCAAGACGTAGGTGATCGCAGCTCTTCAAAATCTTCTTATCTTTGTAACGCTTAGCAATGTTTGTAATTTTACTACCTCTCACCCAATTGATTGTGCCATCCATTTACACCAGCTGGTTAGATAAGTTCCTCGCAGCATTCATCTAGGAATTTCCCCTTCAACATATCATGCGAGTGTCAAAGTTTTCAGGTTTTCTTTTCTCATTTCTCAGAGGCTGACGCCCAGGACGTAAAAAAAACAGGTTCCTGTAAGATCAGTTCGTCATATTCACTTACGCGCAAATACCCCTAGGAAAGTAAGAAGCCACCTCTTCTCGCTCCAGCTGTGGGTTAATTAAAAAGACTTCATGGATAATTGTGATTTTATTTACATTTTATTTAAAACTTCCTCGTTGCATACATGTTCTGTCCATGATATTCTCAGCAACCATTTGTAGAATCACGAGTTTCCTCAAGTCTCCTCTTCGTCTGTGAAGGAATTGTCCTGAATTCACTGCCAATTTCACCACGAAGTTAAAAGATGGAGATAATTTGTCTTTGAATTTTTATATTAAAAAAAATAATTCGTTCAGGCACTTCACATTATTCTTTGAAGTGATCGATATATATATATATATATATATATATATATATATATATATATATATATTATAATTATGAATCATTCATACAAAAAACAAATATAGAGGTTAATGATTTAAATGGCGAGAATACATCGTCGCAAACACATAAATAAGATACACCAACCCCGAACCTATTATATGAATGATATGATCAAATCATTAACATCTATATTTGTTTTTTTATGAATGATTCATGAATTTATAAATTATATTTGCACAGTTTAATTGAATTAAATATATATATATATATATATATATATATATATATATATATATATTGTGTGTGTGTGTGTGTGTGTGTTTGTGTGTATTTACGCAGCATTTTTTAAATGAAACATGTTTCATTAAATAATATGGACACGTGTTGTCTATTCATTTTATGTAAATTCTTTTCATAACGTCTCATAAGCATAATAACATTATCAATAAACGAAGAAAGAAAATCACAATATTGATACATATTTTTTTTAATCCTATTTAAGATTTCAGCTTATATAAGCCATTATCAAAAAAGCCAAAAGCAAAAAAAAATGTTTGTTTTCAAATAGAAACAAATGTAAACAAATTTTTACTACATTACTTAAAAATCGAAAATGGAAAAAATAAAATAAAATAAAAATAAATAAATAAACAAAATGACAATAAAATAAGCAAAATAAATTAACCCAAACAAATTACCAAATCACACCTGTTAGAATAGACGCAATAAAATAAAAAGTAAGAAAAAAAAATATATATATATATATATATATATATATATATATATATATATATATATATATATAGAGAGAGAGAGAGAGAGAGATAGGATTGGTGTATACGGAATAAATTCCTATAACCAAAAATACTATTCTTAAGAATGCTCAATACAGAATAGAGAAATATAATTTATTCGAAAATTATAACATAAATATTTTATAAAATCACTACAAAAATAGCCATTTTGTTTCAACACTTCTGGTGTCTTATCAAGAGATTCCTTTCTTTATTCTACATTCAACACCATCACTTGATAAGATACAAGAAGTTTAAAAAACAAAATGAGTATTTTTGTAGTGATTTTATAACATATTTATGTTATAATTTTCGAATAAATTATATATATATATGGTTATATACATACACATATATATATATATATATATATATATATATATATATATATATATATATATATATATATATATATATATATATGTGTGAAAATATATAGAAAATAGGAAAGAACCTGTTAGGTAAATAATCCAAAGTTCTTTAGCATTTTTGTTTTTTTTTTTTTTTTTAAATTCCTCGATACAAAAGTAGAGCCTAAATTAAAATTATTTAAAAAAAAAATATGATTCCTTCGCTACATGAGTGTTCTCATGTTTCGAAAACAAGAGCCGAAAACTTCTATATAATTATTTGAATTAAATTGAATTAAAGTATCAAGCTCTGTTTCAACTTCAATTCAGCTCTTGTTGAGAACTTTTATGTAGTGGAGGAATCATATTTTTAAATAAATAATTATATATATATACATATATAAATATATATATATATATATATTATTTATTAGAATTTTATCATATAGACAAAACAGTTAACTTACTACAAAGATGCAACTTCCTTTCGGTGCATTTCAACTGCACCTCAACGGGTGAGAAGCAAAAATGGTTATGAACAATTCTGATTGTAAGCAAGCCGTATGTGAAATGTCACTTACTTTTTTCCCAACCTTTGTTCCCTTTGTTCATAAACCATTTTTGCTTCTCACCAGTCGAGGTGCAATTGAAATGCACCGAAACGGAGTTGCATCTTTGTAGTGAATAAACTGTTTTTGTCTATATGACAAAATTATAATAAATAATTATCTTTCTACTATCGGTATCGATCCCTCTTTTGGATTAATGCTGTGAACGTTAGAATTTTATATTATTTTTGTTCTCATCGCATAAACCCTGCTGCATCCCTCTAGTAACGACTTTCAACCCCACTTTGCCTCCATTATCCCAAATAATCAAAAATCGCTGGGAAATACTGCATCTCAAACCAGACCTAAAAAAATCGTTTGAAGAACCCGGCTTTCTTGCATAGCGTAGAACTAAGAACCTAAAAGAAATCATAGGTAGTAACCACATTTCAGGGGACAAGGTAATCTGTAATAAACTAAGAACAAAAAAGAGGATTTTCCCAAACATGTAACAACAAAAAGAAGTTTATGTTGCAACCATATTAAAAAGACGAATTCATTCACTAGCTCAATCACTAAATCTACTTTCAAAATCTACCACGATTCTAACTGTAGAAGTCATAACATAATTTACCTCCTAGAATGCACACTATGCCAAAACAATATGTAGGAAAATCTGAATGGCCCTTTCACTACAGAATTAATAATTATCGCAATCGAATTAAATCAACTCCCTATGAACAATTATTACCTGGAGAACAACATTTCCGCCTGGAAAAACACGATTTCAAAACCCATGCCAGATTCACTATAATTGAGAGAATAGAAAAGTTCAGAGCAGATAACATTAGAAAGATTTTAGAGTCCCATGAAAATAAGTGGATACAA